CTCATCTGAGAAAAACAGTAAATCTGGTCCGCGTGTACCCACTGGCCTGTATTTGATACAAGAAATCACAGATACCGTATTTAATCCACAGAACACATGCTCTCTTGTGTAACGGATACTGTATGCAGCGGTCACTTACCAGGCTCTGTTCTATACACTGGGAAAACCAGTGACATGTGGGCTTCACACACACACACACACACACACACACACACACACACACCTCTCCCCAAATCCCCCTCCCCCTCCCTACCCATCCAACTTTTTTTTCTTTTTCTTTTAATTTTTGCCTGGCATGTTATTCTCTTCTCCACTTGGCAAATTAGAGAACTGTGGCTTAGGGAGGTGCCAGGTCAAAAGTGAAGTCATGCCGGGCAAGGTAAGAGGCTTAACTGTGGCCTCCCAGAGCCCAAAACCGCCGCCCAAACTGCCTCTGCTCCCCACCCGGCAGCAGTGCCCGTGGTTGGAAAAGCAGCTTTGGTGTTGGGGTCTCCCGAGAGCCCTGCCCTCCCCTCTGACTGCTGGGTAGCTGTGGGCCTGGGCCATGGAGTAGGAAGGACTTATGACCTCACCACCAGTGTCTCTTTGCCTTGCCTCCTGGCCCCGCCGGCCATGGCTAGGACATGAATACGCAGAAGAGAACCTGGGCTTTGCAGGCGTGGTGGAGCCCGAGAATCTGGCCCGTGAGAGGAAGATGCAGTGGGTGCAGAGACAAAGGATGGAACGCAAGAGCACCGTGAGAGGCCTGGGGAGTGGGACGGGATTGGGGTGCGGGACCTGGCCACTCATCTAGCCAAAGCCTACCCAGCCTGGGCCGGCAAGCACTTTCTAGAGCTCTGACCTCTTACCCTGGGGTGGGGGGGGGTAGGGTCTAGGACAGACATCCTTGTACTGGGTCCCCTTTCCAGAGTCCACCCACCCACCCCTGTGCCTCTTGCCCTGCAGTGCCCATCCACCCTGGGAGAGGAGCGCGCCTACAACCCATTCCTGAGAACCCATTGCCTGGCACTACAGGAAGCTCTGGGGCCGGGGCCGGGCCCCACCAGTGACGACAACTACTCCCGGGCCCAGCTCCTGGAGGAGCTGCGCCGGCTGAAGGACATGCACAAGAGCAAGTGATACCCCCAGCCCAGCCCGGTCCAGGCTGTCCCCGCAAGGGGAAGCCACCCACCGCCCACACCTCGCCATCCTCGCCATCACTAATACCACCGCCGCCGCCGCTGCCGCCACCGCCGTCACTGGTGCCCTAGGCGGCACCATCTTCCAGACTGTTCAGGGAGGGCAGAGCCCAGGCAGTGGGACCCAGAGGAGGAAGCAGCAGAAGGTGGCTTGGAGACCCCACACAACACAGCTGGGTATTTAGGGTAAGAGGAAAGTAGCAACCTGGGACATCTCTAGACTTTGCTGCCTCAGAGGGTCTGCCTCCCTCCCCCACCTGTGGACCAATAGCCAGATCATGAAGGCTGCTGCTGTTGGCTTCCCCTTCCAGAGGCCGCACCCCCATTGGAGCCCTAGATCCCAGGAGAGCAGAGCACTGACCAGGCTAGGCTGGCCTCCACCTTTCCCCATCCAGGGTTGTCGGAGATGCTCACCCTGGAAACAGTGATGTAAGGGGTGGTGCCTGGGAAAGTGGTCACCACCAGGGGCGGCCAGACTCTGGGTGGCCGAGACTCTAAGCTCCACCTTACCCACCCTGCTGAGACATTGCCAGGCAGAGCCATTCCTAAGAACACCCAAGGGCTGGAAGCCTGGCTCTGGCCCATCCCTGACTCAGTGAACCCCCTGAAGGCTAGAGCGAAAGGTCCCTGATTGCCAAGGAATCTTCTGCCTCAGGCCAAGGAGACACAAGTCACTGGAATACAGAGCCACCCACCATGCACATCTGTCCCGGGTCTGCCACTGGCCTCTGCTCCTGCCCCGGCTCACGAGGGCCTGCCTTCCCAGGGGAGAGTGAGCTGTGGTCTTACCCGAGAGATGCTGCGTTCTCCTTTGGGCCCTTGTTCTTAGGAATTCCTGTCTGCCCTTCTGACCTCCTTAGCATCTCTTGCTTTATCCTCAACTCTTTTCTTCCTGAAGTCATTACAGGCTGATCTATCAGTCCTGGTACGCCTCTAGCTCCTTGCAGTTTGCCAAAAAAAAAAAAAAAAAACTTGCGTCCCCACGTGATTTCCCACTGGATCCCGGGCCCCAGGCTGGCAGTGTCTAGAAAGCTGAGGTCTGGGGAGCAAGGAGCTCCAGTGAGTGGCAGCTTCCAGGACCCCAGGCCTGGGTCTACCCACTGCTCACCCCTCCTCCCGCTCTGCTTGTCCCCCGGGGCCACCGCGAGGACCGCCGTGGGTGTCTAGCAGGCACACGTGGGTTAAGCCAGGAGCCACATCTCCGTGTCAGGGCCTCCCGTCCCTTGGGCTGTGTGGTGCCCTCCGATGATCCTCTGAGATGCCCCCGCCCTCAGTTTCTCTTCTCATCTGGCCTCGGCTGCCCTCTCTAGCCCCAGCCTTCGGAACCCACTCTAGCAATACCACCAGACTAGTTAGCCTTCCCCGCCCCCAGGACACACGCAGTCCCACGCCTTAGTGCCTTCGCTCACTGCTCATGCTGCTGTTTCTTCAACTGGAATGCCTTCCCGCTCCTCCTCCTCCTCCTCCCGCCTCCTCTGCCTGGCAGCCGCCTCTATGAGCCTCTCACCGGCCCCTCCCCCAGGAAGGCATCCCTCACGCCTGCTACCTCTGCACCTTGTAAATGCTTCTCTCGTGGCACTCATCACACTGTATTTTACTTGTTTACATGTTCGCCTCCCCTTCTAGACTGTGAATCCTTAAGGGCATGGACTGTATCTTATGCATCTCTGTATTCTGCGCCTAGCACGGTGCACTGGCACACAGTAGGCGCTCAATAAATGTTGAATGAATGATTTAACTCAATGACTTATCTGTGCCGCTGCATGCGTGCCTAACAGCAGCAGAGAGCTCGTTCCGGGTCTCAGAACTGAGGGTTACTACATGGGAAGAGCTTTGGGCAGCCTATCCATGTACCGGGCCCTGGGTTCAATCCCCAGCAGCACCAGAACGGCCCAGAAACAATGCCCTCCACATATTCCTTCCACAGCCCATGTGTTTTGGTTCAGAGTCTGCAGCGTGGGTACCCCGGTCTTTCCCTCAGCTTGAGACACACAGGACGCCACAGCCCAGCAGTGAAGAGCGTTACGGGAGCACAGCCTTGGCTACAGCTTCTCTCTTTTTCTTTATTTTGGTTTTTCAAGATAGGGTCCGTGTAGCCCTGGCTGTCCTGGAACTGGCTCTGTAGACCAGGCTGACCTCAAACTCAGAGGTCCACCTGCATCTGTTAAAAAAAACGAAAGAGCTAAAGCAGGATGTGGTGGCAGACGCCTTTAATCCCAGCACTCGGGAGGCAGAGCCAGGCGGATCTCTGTGAGTTCGAGGCCAGCCTGGTCTACATAGTGAGCTACATAGTGAGTTCCAGGACATCCAGGGGTGTTAAACAGAGAAACCTTGTTTCAAACAACCAAACAAAGCTGAAGTCCTGTTCTCGTCTTGCTTTATCTCATTGAATTTATCTTTTTGTGGATACTTGTTTTTAGTAAGCAAGGCTGGTTTTTAGTTCATGAAGGTAATTAAAGGTATTTCTTTTTAAGAAACATTTTTAAGTGATTTGTTTGGGGGGGTGCGGGGCGTTTACCCACCAACCCCACAGCTCCCCAGAGTTTTCTTGAGTGTGAGCAGCAGGAAATATTAGATAGAAGGATTTATTGCGGAGAATCTTTCGGAGATAAACAGAAAATAAAGGATAGCCTCGAGGGGGCTTGGAACCTTTCCCAACGCCCCGACTGTCTCTGCCCCAGGGTTTTTATAGAGACGCCAAGGGGTGGAGCAAAAGACCTCCTCCCCCAGCACAGCCAAGTGCAGACCATCTCAGACACCTGCACTCAGGCCCGTGGTCCTGATCATCCTCTATTCGGATCTGCTGGGTAAAGCCACGAGGAACCTGAGAATGGGCTCCCACAGTGGGGGATGTTGTTTTTTTTGTTTTTGTTTGGTTTTTGGTTTTGGGGTTTTTGTTTGTTTGGTTGTTTGTTTTTGGTTTTTCATGACAGGGTTTCTCTGTGTAACTTTGGAGCCTGTCCTGGAATCTACTCTGTAGACCAGTCTGGCCTCAAACTCACAGAGATCTGTCTGCCTCTGCCTCCCCAGTGCTGGGACTAAAGGCATGTGCCACCACCGCCCGGCAATCTGTTTATTTTTATTCTATGTGCATTGGTGTTTTGGCTGTATGTATGTCTGTGTGACAGCATCAGATCCCCTGGAACTGTAGTTACAGACTGCTTTCAGCTGCCGTGGGGGTGCTGGGAATTGAACCCTGGTCTTCTGGAAGAGCAGCCAGTGCTCTTAACCACTGAGCCATCTCTCCAGCCCAAGCAAGCACTATTTTGTTGTTGTTTTTTTCGAGACAGGATTTCTCAAGATATTTCTTAAAATAGGAAAACATGAGGGTTGGGGATTTAGCTCAGTGGTAGAACGCTTTCCTAGCAAGCGCAGGGCCAGTCCATTGGGCACTTCAGAAAAGTGTTCAAAAACAAGAGCTTTGGCCAGTTGTGGTGGTGCAGACCTGTAATCCCAGCACTTGGGAAGCAGAGGCAGGGGGATCTCTGTGAGTTTGAGTCCAGACTTGTCTACATAACAAGTTCCAAGCCAGCCAGGGCTTTATAGTGAGACCGTGTCTCAAACAAACAAACAAACAAACAAACAAACAAAAGGTTGGAGTCCATGTTCCTTTTGAAGAAGCTTGCTCTGAGCACTGAAATTCCACATGATCCACAACTACATGAAGCATTGTGGTCCAACCTAAGACACATGACATCCTAACTTTAAAAAGAAATTGGAGTATATTGGTGAGACCAAAAAGGAGGATTTTTTTTTCTAACTTTATATAAATTCATATTATCAAAGCAATATGGCTTGCTTTTTTTAATTTTTTTTAACCACTTCATGTTTATTGAATGTTGATGACTAATGTAAATAATTACTTTCCAACATTTCTTAATTTCACAAAATCCTCCACTGTAGGTAATCAAAGCACTGAGCAAAAATACAATTTTCCACATTGTGTATCAATAGTTTCTCTCACATACTTCTAAAAAGCCCATGAAACAGTGAAGGCTTTCCAATTCCTGACACTGTGCAGCTTCAAAGTGGGTTCATGTGAACTTGATTTTGAACATTCTGATGACCTCCCATACTCTTTAAGTTCATGAAGCATCTTTGCAACATGAGTTCTTTCACATCTTTAAAGCCAACTAGTACATAAATAATCACTTTACAAATGGCTTACACTGATAAGCTTTCTTGCCACTGTGAATTTGGATTCATTGTTAAAGCAATAGAACTTCCTAAAGCAGTCTCTTCATTCCTTCCAACCAAAGAATTTATCTCAAGGGTTTTTATGTGTCCTGAAAGATGAGAACTACTGAAAGGTATTCCATAACTTTTACATTTATAGGCTTTCTCCCCACTGTGAATTCTTACATGTTTACTTAGATGTGAGTAAACAGCAAAAGCTTTCCCACACTCCTTACATTCATAGGGCTTCTCTCCAGTGTGAGTTCGCATGTGAATGTGGAGGTAGGAGGAACATGTAAATGCCTTCCCACACACGTTACACTCAAAGGGTTTTTCTCCAGTATGAATTCTCAGATGTGCAATAAGATATGAAGAAGAAGCAAAGGCCTTTCCACACTGGTCACATTCATATGGTTTCTCTCCTGTGTGACTTCTTATATGTTCAAGGAGGCCTGAAGATGTAGTAAAGGCTTTCCCACATTCTTTACAAGTATAGGGCTTCTTCCCAGTGTGAGTTCGTATATGTTTTGTAAGACCAGAACGCACAGTGAATGCTTTCCCACATTCCTCACACTTATGGGGTTTCTCTCCTGTGTGAATTCTTACATGTTTACTTAGATGTGAAGAAACAGTAAAGGCTTTTCCACATTCCTTACATATATAAGGTTTCTCTCCAGTGTGAGTCCGTATGTGATTATGAAGGTAGGAAGAACATGCAAATGCTTTTCCACACACACTGCATTCAAAGGGATTTTCTCCAGTGTGTGTTCGTAAATGTTTAGTAAGACTTGTGCGCTTAGTGAAGGCTCTGCCACATTCCTTACATACATAGGGCTTCTCTCCAGTGTGAGTCCTCATGTGAATGCGAAGGTAGGAGGAACATGTAAATTCTTTCCCACATACTTTACACTCAAAGGGCTTCTCTCCAGTGTGTGTTCTCAAATGTGTAATAAGAGTTGAGGAAGAAGCAAAAGCTTTTCCACAATGATCACATTCAAAGGGTCTCTCCCCCATGTGACTTTTCATATGTTTTATAAGGCCTGAGGTTGAAGTGAAGGCTTTCCTACATTCCTTACATTTATAAGGCTTCTCTCCAGTATGTGTTGGTAAATGTTTACTAAGGCCAGAGCGCCCTGTGAAGGCTTTGCCACAGTCCTTACATTTATAGGGCTTTATTCCAGTGTGAACTCGAAAGTGATCATTAAGGCATGAGGAATTTCTAAAGCATTTTCCACAAACCTTACATTCAAAGGGCTTCTCTTCAGTGTGAGTTTTTAAGTGCTGAGTTAGTGGGTAACACCTAGAAAAAGCTTTCCCACATTCCTTACATTGATAAGGTTTCTCCCCAGTGTGGGTACGCATATGAATATTAAGGTTGGCAGAATATTTAAAACTTTTCCCACATTCATTACATTCATAGGATTTTTTTCCAGTGCATGTTTGACCCATAGCTGGGTTAAAAGCATCACCACACTGTACCCATTTAAAGAGTTTGTCTTCACTGTGAGTTCTCCCAGATGCCTGAGGGTATGACTGACTATCCAAGGCTTGCTGAAATTCACCAGATTTGAGGAATTTGGCTTGTACACATGTTGTCTGATAAGCAGCACTTGCAGCCACACTGATGTCTTTTTCATACTGGCTTAATTCAGGACCTTTGTCTGCAGAAGAGGTTTCCTCAGGCCGAGTAGGAATGGCTTGTCCATACTGAACACAATCATAAATGTTTCCTCTGTTTTGAATACCTTTGTGTGTCAGACTACATGAAGGTTCTTTGAAGTTGTCTTCACGTGGCTTAAAGTCATACAGCTCCTTTCCATTGTGGCTATTTGACAGTTGTATCTCATTTGATATTTTTAACTGAAAAATATCCTGCTGAAACATTGTCCCTCTGGTGTTAAGTCGCATAGCCCATTCTTGGTGAACTCCTCTCTCAACTACTCTAAACTCTTCTGCCTCCAAACAAGAGCTTGAGCTGGGTTTGATGAGCTGACATCCTACTGTGGCCAGGTTCTGGTAGTTCTCCAGCATCACCTCTCTGTAAAGGTTCCTTTGTTTTGTGTCCAATAAAGTCCACTCCTCCTGGGTGAAGTCTATAGCCACATCCTCAAAGGTCACTGACTCCTGGTAACTACTTGTCAGGCAGTCAGACACCATCCTGTCCATCTCTGTCCTTTCATTATAAAAGTAGCATGGGTCCCTAGAAAATGAACCATGAGACACACTGATGGCTTCCATCCTGAAAGGATGGTGGTGAAATACACTGGAACACTTTCTTCTAGAATTTTGAAGGACACGTGTAGGCAGTTTACATATATAAGTGGCCCAGTGGTGATCTTTCCTCTTCCTACATCGTTACTTGCATTCTTGAAGACATGGATCATCAGCAAATCTTATCTGAAGGTGCCGGACCCGCCAGCTCCAGAGGACGCCAGACAGAGAACTAACCGCGCAGCGGAGATCCTGGGGGCGCTCGCAGGTCTGCAAGGCCGAGGTCCAAGCCAGCCTCCCCCAGGCCGCCCGCCGGGCGCCGCCTCTGCCGAGCAACCGGACTCCAAATCGCTTTTTTTAATTTTAAATTAAAAAATATTTAATGGGATTAATCCATGGAGTCTATTTCATGATCAAAGCAATATATTTGGGGATAACTCACAATCACAGGAGATTTATCATAGGGTCCAGGAAAGCTGAGCTATGTAACATGCTGAACAGCTTGGTCCAAGATCTCAGTATCCAAAACCACAAGGTAGCCAAGAGAGGGCCTACATGCATCCCAGGTTTTAAGGGTTTCTGGTGGCCACACTCTAGGGACAGGTACCTCAAGGTCATAGGCAGGTGTAACAGCTACAACTGCCCTCATTAGGGACGGTGCTTCAGGGCATGGCTCAAACTGCTACTCACTACAAATATTTTTTAAAGAGGGAGTCTCGGCTCAGAAGGACAAACATGGTATGTACTCACTCATAAGTGGGTACTAGCTATAAAGCAAAGGACAATCAGACTGCAACCCACAAATCTAGGGAGGCTACCTAGCATGGGGGACCCTAGGATGATTATGGCTTATAATAAGTTTTGGTTTTGCCCAATCACTGGACAAGCTTTAGTGAAACATTTCACTATTAGGATAAGAATTTATACTGTATCAAGCTGATGAAAGGATATGCTGGCCATACTTTCGGGAAGGGAGGCTAAAATCTTTTTAGATTATGGATTAGCCTATAGAAAAATGTCTGCCGTAAATCAGTGAAGGGGAAGATGAATAGGAATCTCTTTTCTTTTCTTTTTTTTTGGTTTTTGGAGACAGGGTTTCTCTGTGTAGCTTTGCGCCTTTCCTGGAGCTCACTTGGTAGCCCAGGCTGGCCTCGAAC